ATATATATATATATATATATATATATATATATACCTGTTAACAGCCTTTAGTGTCAAATCTCACTAAATAAATATATTTATTTTTCATGTATAAACCAAGACTAGAATGAATTTTTTAATGGTTTCGGTGTAATTTAATAACATGTTATTTATCTTCTAACGACAACTGACACAACACAATATTCATTATTAAGTTTTGCAGTTCATGAGTGGTAGACTGTACATTGGAGTTATCAAGCTACTCATATTTTACCATAAAAAAATAAAACAAATTATTTTAATCAAAAAAGAATCAGTTTAATATACACATAGACTAATTATCCAACCTGACCAATTTAAATAAACAGTATCATTTCAACCCCTAAAAGAAGAGCCATTTTATTGTTAAAATGTTTTAATTAATAAAACACTGTTTTAAACTCTAATCAGAATTGCTTCATTTCTCTAAACCAGACTGAATCAATACAAAAAAAGACATTACCTCAGAACATAAAATTTCAAACTGTACTATTTTAATTAAAAAGACTGTTTTCAGTCAAGAAGAAATATTATCTTAGTACTAGAATATTTTCAACATAGGCTATATGAAACACCTACAGAGATGCACCAGATCTGTACGCCATTGGTATAGCCAAGAACCACAAGCAGAGAGGGGGTGTTTCCATTCTGAATGTCAGCATCTGATGGGAAAGTAAGTTGTTAATGTAATCTATCACCAAGAATTAGTAGAGCAAAGCTATGAAAACTGTGTACAGACTAAACTTGAAATCAGTTGTATTATCTACTTACTCTCAGAGATTTAGTTATCATAATGTTCTCATGCTGGTCTGGTCCATAGGCAGTGTATAGTGGTACCTTTTTTAGCTAGTTAGGCCCATAAACAGTATATACTGGTACCTGTCCTTGCTTGTCAGGTTCATAGGCAGTGTATACTGGTACCTGTCCTTGCTTGTCAGGTTCATAGGCAGTGTATACTGGTACCGTCCTTGCTTGTCAGGTTCATAGGCAGTGTATACTGGTACCTGTCCTTGCTGGTCAGGTCCATAGACAATCTATACTGGTACCTGTCCTTGCTGGTCAGGTCCATAGGCAGTGTATAATGGTACCTGTACTGGTCAGGTCCGTAGACAGTGTATAATGGTACCTGTCCTTGCTGGTCAGGTCTGTAGGCAGTGTAAACTGGTACTTGCACTTGCTGTTCAGGTCCATAGAGAGTGTATAATGGTACCTTGCTGGTCAGGTCAATAGGCAGTGTAGAGTGGTAACTGTCCTTGCTGGTCAGGTCAACAGGCAGTGTAGAGTGGTAACTGTCCTTGTTGATCAGGTCCAAAGGCAGTGTAGAGTGGTAACTGTCCTTGCTGATCAGGTCCACAGGCAGTGTATTCTGGTATCTGTCCTTGGTAGTCAGGTCCTTAAGTAGTGTAAATTAGTACCTGTCTTTAGGCAGGGTATACTGGTACCTGTCCTTAATAGTCAAGTTGTTAGGCAGTTGATAAGCCTATAAAGGCCCCGGGGAAAGAATATTTTGTTCCTTCCTATAGACCAACTATACTACACAAAAATATACAACCAAAACTTACATGTCCTTAAACAATGGTAATCATTTAAGCATATCAAAACAACCAAACAGCGAAACTTTTAATTTCTAATAGCTGGAAAATACTTTTAACAAACACAAATATTATAAAATATTAATCTATTTTTTACTTATATTAGAATAAATTCTTCTTTCCAGCCTTCTTCTTTACAAATATATCAAGCCAGAGCAGTGAAATCCATTTCTTTTGCTCATTCCAGTGTATTTGATAATATTGCTAATCCTCTCAGTTGGTCTGGAGACTAAGGACTTCTCAAGGGGTACTTGGGAGAGTGAGGGGGAATTGTTGATTTGTTGAGAGCCTTTCATGAGTTGTAATTGTGTATCAGGTGAGCCCCTGGATTTCAAAAGTGTCAATTCTTTGTATTTTACAAGTTGGAGCCTCTGTGTCTTATAAATGTATCTCACAAGTGGATCATCATTATTAGGGACTGATTTTGGTCAGGCAGCGCCCCATCTAGACGTACACCATTGTATGTATTACTGCCTATCATTGTTGCTCAGGTCCTTAAAATCTGCTGAGAATCATACTTAAGCTGACACACTCAGACTTCTTAGAAATATTTCACTTGCTACAAGACAAAATCTTTTTGCAAGCATAACAACCCCTAGTCAATGAATTGTAAACTTTCAGAGTTAACATTTATATAGATGTTAGTTAATTTGATAATGAACTATATATATAACATTTTAAACATCAAATACACTTTTTCATATTTTACTATGTTCACCTTATTCATTTTAATTCTATTCCTTGTTTCTTTGTTTTTTTACACACTAAAAGTCAAGATTTGGTGGTTGTCTTATATAGGTATCAAAATCAATTACTTTATCATGTAATTCAACAAACCAGAAAATTGACTTGTAGGTTGTAACAATGTGACAAGTGTATTGTAAGCATAAATTAAACTTACCTTTTCATTACAGAACTTAAGAATGTCAGTGCAAGTTACATTTGCTTCTAGAACAGCAAAATTCTAAATAACAGACAGGAAACCTTACCTAGAAATGTTTCCCAAATTAATATACCAAACTAACAATCATACATATGTATGCATCATGAAAGCAATGTGTTTCAGTGTGGAACCTCTACCTAAAATTCAGCATTCATACACATTTATTATCTGCTACAACTGTCAAAAAAGATATGGGAAGAATCTTACCATTAATATCCGAACTCTCAAATTTAACCCACAAAATGGTTTCTTTGTCTTCTTGTTTAGTTGAGTTTGAATATGCCTAAATTACAAATAAGATAGCATATTTTACCAGTTCAAACAACAAGGAAATAAAAATCCATAAAATATTTAAAAGATCAATATTCAAAAGCTATAAAGAAAGGGGTAACAATAACCATACTGCCAGGAATGTATAGCTTTAAGAAATTTTCTTTACTTGATATTTTACAGTTTATAACATGGTAACTATTATGATGATGAACATTTTTACTTACATGAGGCACAACTTCATGGAAAAATCCTACAACACTCTCCATATATGACTTGTCACTGAAAAATAATTCAGTCTCCTAATAAAATATTAGTTATTCAAAAGCAATAACCATTGATCTGTTATAGGCTATTTAAATTCTTTTAAAAAAATTGATAAATGTTAAATACTTTTACTATAATAAACTGAACTAAGTTTTATTGGCCATATGTCATATTTACATTCTTAATGCTGAGTTCATAACTTATTGACACAGAAGTAAAAGCTACTTTACATAAACTCAAGTCTATTAAATTTGTAGATCCTTAGAATGTAACAAGCCATTCATGTCTAGAAAAAGTACTAGCACTGAGATTCATTAACTGAAACAAACTAACAATTCAGAAGGAGAGCTGTCTGCTTGGAACTTACAGCTGTGGTAACTCACTCTCAGGATACAAACGTGAGCTGAGGGTCCCGAGTTCAAACTCCAGTCAAAGAAGATTTTGACACCAATGCTCTACAAACTGAGTTATCAGAGCTTCCAGTTGTAAGCAGACAACTATCCATTGAATTCATTACAAAATCAACAATTTAATCAATATAATGTTTTATGAGATAACTAAAGTAGTAAAAATATGAAATGTTTATTGAGCTTATGGATAGTGCCTGTCTAAGCCTATCATTAATATTAAAATCTAAGCATGACATTCTGACTTTCATCTCCCTCTAACAAAATAACCACACTTAAATCCAATTAAGAATTTTATTTGTTTTTTTAATTTCTCTTTGATATTTGTTATATCATATTAATTGTGACAGACCAACCTACATTATTATACTTGGCTTAACATTTGGTTTTTATTCTCCTCTAAGCTTACACATACTTAAGAGTTAACTGATTTTACATATGCCAATAAAATTCAAATTTGATTTATAACTGTGTGAAACTAATTTTAATTCCAGTATACTAAGAATAAATTGTTAACACTTTCATTAATGTAAATACCTAACTACAAAATATTCTAATTAAAAAAATACATTTTTCAACTTACCTTACAACTTGAGGTCGAACAGACAGTCCAGATTTAGACCCTCGTCTACCAGTTGAGTCAGCAGCCATTGCTCTTATTCATATATTACTAGGTTTTTACTTGATAACCAATAAAATATATTCAATCATGTAGAAATCTTCCAAATGGATAAGCAAAAAAAAAAAATGATGTAAAATATTATTTGCAAGTGTAAACATGTTAAACATTAGACCTAATTTACATTCATTAGTACAGTATTATAGAAGAAAAGGGTCTTGGTGTTCTAGTTGATCAGTCTCTTAGTTAACCAAGCAATGTGTTGTTGCTAGTCGTAGAGCAAAAATGATTTTAGGGTTTGCATCTACAGAAATATTGAGTCTAAAGTGGCTAGGCCACATTGTGAAATACGTTCAATCCTAAGGAATAATACTGAATTGTTGGTAAAGGGGCTACTAGAAATACACCTGGAATGGAAAGGTTTTCATGAGGGCAGGTTAAGATTTCTGAAACGTTTAAAAAAAAAAAAAGAGTTACAGGAGATCTGGTTGAGGTGTTTAAGAGAACTGATAGTAGCAATGTATCGTCTTTTTCTGTATTTAATGGTGAGAATGTAAGACTCAGAGACAAATATAAATTTTTGCAGGTTTGGAATCATATCTGATAAGAAAGTTTTATTTTTCTAACAAGTCAGTTGGCCTTTAGAATATGTTGTCTCCAGATATGGTGAATACAATTAATTTAAGGGAGTTTAAAAGAGATGTTTGAAAAATATTAGAATGATAAGGGCTGTCTTTGAATGTTTTTTTAAAAGAGTTAATTTTGGTGGATGGGACAGCCTGGGAGGACCAATAAGTCACTTGTTGTTGTTAAATGTTATGCTAATGTCTTGTTTCTGAAGCTTGTATATTTGAAAGATTCCCTACTTGTTATCCATATGTTGGCATTAAAAAAATTCTAACATTTGGTAGAAATCAATGTAAGCCAATGTAGAAAAATAAATTACAATAAAGTGAGAGAGAGTTATTATTTGTAAGAATAATTCTAAGAAGCTTACTAGAAAAAGACCAACAAAAAAGCATCCATTATTTGTACATGGAATACCACTGTATGCATTTATATACTTCTTAAAACTAAAAGCTTTCTATATAAATGTTGTATTTCCTTGGTTAATCCATTGAAATTACTTTTTGCTCGTTTCTTTTAACAAAATTATTTTGTCCAATTTATAACCATATTTCATTTCTCTTTTCAATGTTTTTTTCATATATTAATGAATGCATAAATCAGTACATTATCTTAACCTTGTATAGAATTTCCCATATACTGAGCTCATCAAAAGTCCATGAAAATATCGCAACATGGTTACAAAGAAAGCATGAATTCTCACTGACATAAGGGTTGGCTTCCATTAAATAAGTTTTAAGCACAAAAATAAATGCTTTGGTTCACTTTAAAAAATTTTTCTGAACACTAATTTCTACTTCAAGATGAATAACGAGTATCATGTCAAATTACACTGCAACTAATACGAATTAAAACATGCAATGATCTGTGTAATATCTTAAATATTTAAATTTATTTTTTAGTCACATGTGAAAACAATAACATGAAAATTAAAATATTTCATCAACTAAACCAGAACTAAGAGTGAACAAATAAAACCATACTATTTAATTTAAGGCATAAAATGCACGATTCCCAAATGAATAATATCAGCAAGCACAGTTTATTGACCTACCACATAATAAATCTATTCAAGTGATGCACAATCACAATCGATGAAAAATTAACAGTTTTAACTTGAGTAATATTTAAAAAAATCCCCTAAACTTAATCTTACAATGATGTTTCCTATAACGTCACAACTCGCCCTGCGTCACCTGTTTACAATCCAAGACAGCTGTAAAGATATTGCCCTGCCACCTATATTTCAAAAAATGAATAAATTTAAATAAACATATTAATAATTTCTTTTAGTAAAAACGTTCAAACTTCGATCACACAGTGGCACAGGGGTATGTCTGCGGACTTACAACACTAAAAACCGGGTTTCGATACCCGAGGTGGGCAGAGCACAGATAGCCCAGTCTGCAGCTTTGAACTTACAAACCAACAAAACCATCTCATGGAGTTAAGTTGTTTCTTCCAACTCAGTCAACAGATGATGGGTAACTTTGTTGTTCGTCAATGTTTTTTTTCTTAATATTGCTAAAGTAAACTAACATTAAAATTACAGCTGTATGTCAATAGACATATTCAAATATTTTAAATCTTCAAAAATAACTATTCTATTTCTTTAAACAAACACATCATAAGAGCGAGAAAGTATTTAAAAAAAATGTTCAGCCTTACTTCTTTGTACACGCTCACACAAAGGAAACCTCGAAACTAGGTCACGTGAGTTTGTATGGCTTCATTTGAAAAAAAAAAGCATTCGTTTATTTTTAATTTATATTGTTCACAAGTTATTGTTTATTCTCTAATTTGTTTTGTTTTTCATCATTTTGCGTAAGTTTGTTTTGCTGAAACATGTTTTTTGTTATCATGGTTAGTAACCTATACGATCACCTAGGTCTAATTAGTCTTGTCTGGTAGTTAGGGTAATAAACTCGCAATCTGCGAGTTTCAATCACGTTGTTGCGTCAGCGAGGTCACGTGACTAGTATCACGCCACCTCCTTCTAGAAATATCCTGTTCCTTCGTGAATTGTCGGGAGACTTCTAGATTGGGGGTAGTCTGGTATGTATATAAGACGGTCACAACCTTACCTGAACAATGAGTAACTGAACTGCAGTCACAGAGCGTGTAATTGAACGGAGTATTGTTGAAGTCGAGCTCGTGAGACGTTCGTTGAGAATTATAGCGTTTGTTATAGCGCGACTGTTGGAATTAAGTGTATCGCAAAGTTATATTCAGAAAGGATAAACCAGTTTTATTTAAGAAAGGACTTGTGTCGCTAAAGTTTCGTCGGAACGAATTTACTGAAATTAACTAACGAACGGAGACGTAACAAATTGGTGTTAGAGAGTGGGATAAAAAAAATGGAAACGAGAAGCGCAAATCAAACTACAGCATAGCAGATTTGATGGCAGCAATACAAGAGCAGCAAAAGAAACAAGAAGAACGAGAAAAAACAAGAAGAGAGATTACAACAGTTGTTGGAGGAAAAACTCTCGAATTCGAATCCTACGTTAAGTCCAGCTCAGAGGTACCAAGGTTAGTACAGTAATCAGGATTCAAGGCCAGAAAAGGTCTGCTTTCAGAGAAGTTTGAGGGACTTTGCAGGCACTGTAACAAACCTAGGCACAAGAGAGCTCAATGCTGAAAACTTCAACACAGGAAAGACACCACAGTAGGAAAGGCTGCTACCCAGAAAGGTTGTTGGAACTGTGGAGAGCAAGGACATATATAAAGAGCCAGAGTAAGAAGAATACTACCAACAGGTCAACTTTGGGAAAAAAAGTTGTGGTTGGTGTTGCGGGACACTCACCAACCCCGATCGTGAAAGTCCCAACAGCTAGGTGTAAAATGCC